TTAGTACTGAAATTATATCGAGCATAGACTCAAGTCGAATTTTCGTATTCGATAAAGAAACAAAAGAATAAAAAAAATGTATAAACCTCTGATACGTTATCAACGTACGCATCGCATCGTGAATGACGAAGTTGATCTGTACCGGAAAAGTCGCACGGAAGTGAGATGAACCTGAAGAACGATTCGTGTTGATATATGTTGAACAACATCTGTGAAGCCGGTGTCAAAGATTCTCATGTGGCCTCAACGCGAACCAATCGTTGACGCAAACGAAAACGTTCAGAATTAATAAACCCTATAGTTTCTTCCAATCTCTCTTGATTGTTTTCAATCGTCGTAGCTGTTATATACCCTCGTGATATCTGTTATCAACGCACCTACGCAAATAAGGAATCCTAATAAAGAAATTCCAACTATTTGTAGAATGAGTCAAGAAACTGCGCGCGGGCAAGATAACCAAGTGCAAAACAATGGACACACAACGGTTCATATTGAAATATCGAATTTCACTTTTGTTGTTCGAAAAGAACCAGACAATCAAATCATCCACCAAGATATTGAAGGTCACTCCAATGCTTATTCAAGTATCAAACCCGATATTAAGGGAAAGAAGCCTTTGACTGGAACTTGTAGTGCCCCACCCTCAAAAAGAAGAAAATATTTGTCAACTCAGAACAAATTAAGAGTGTGGAAACATCCAAAGTGTAACAATTGTAGAAGACATCACCCAGGAGAATGTTGGATGACACAAGGATTATGTATAGGTTGTGGTAAATCTGGACATTTCCGAAAGGAATGTCCTACAAACCCTTGGAAGACCAATGCCGATGGCCCTGTTCAAAATCAGTCTACCTCAGCCCGACTTGCACCAGAAGGAAGTAACCCGCAAACAAAATCATGCATGTGTGTATGCAATGAAAGACCGTGTTGAAGAAAACTCCGGTGTCGTCATTAATATATTTCCTTATTTGATAATTTATAAAATTATCCACGTACTAATACGGGATTTGCACTATCTAATATCTATGTAATTCCATATTGAATAAACCTCCGTTGAGATTGAAAACTCAAGGATTCCTTAATAAAGAATCATTTGATCAAGTGTTTTCTCTTTGAATACCTACTTTGTTCATACGCGAATATAGAAGGATCGACGAGACTCTGTATGAACTATCGTCAATTAAACAAATCCTTATCCTTTACTTTGTATCATGACTTATTTGATCATCTTAGAGGATCCATTGTGTTCTCTAAGATTGACTTACTGTCAGGATACTAACTATTCTCTGTTAGGAAACTTGAACAAATTAACGATCAAGAATCGCTACTCCTTACTTCGAAATGGACTCATTTGGATTATCTATTAACATGAAAGATCACGACGTGGCACACCAACAGTGAAAGACTGAAGAATGAAGAAAATGTAGCTCGCACTAGCCATACAGCCTAGGAGAAGATTTATGGATAATATCATTGCAACACAAGATACAACTTGGATTACAACAGGAATGTTACAAATGCAATTCTAAGTCTAATCTCCTAGGATTCACAAACTCATCATAACTAACCCCAGGTTCCGGGAAAGCTTTAGCAAACTCTAGTTTGTCTAAAAGCTCATCAACAGAGAAAGAAGAAATAAAAAGTTTCCTCTGACTGGAAGCCATGAAGTTCTGCCTCACCGCATCGTCTAAGAATTTTAGAAGGTTATTGAAATAACTGTCAATGTTTAAAAGACCAATAGGTCTATTGTGTAACCCTTCAGAAGCCCACGAGATCAAGGTGAACAAACCTTTCATGGTGTCAACTCCTCTGGGAAGAACAATGAAAGCTTCCACGGCATGATTCATCTCAAAATATTTGTAGTAATTACTGGAAGCTGTGTGCTCTACACCGTACGTAGGTCCATAGACCCGTCGTGTTGCTATGTACCCAGGAATGAAACCTCTAATGAGACCACCATTGGTAAAGACTGTTGAAGCAACAGCTCCTTGAAGGCAAACACTACCTCCTCCATAGGCAAGTTTAATTTTTCGTCTTAACAATTTCCTTCCTAAAGCTACCGCAGTAGCCACAAACTTTGGATTTATACCAAGAGAATGACTACCAAGTAGACCAACGAACCTTATGGTGTAAGGAAGTGTTCGAGAAGTTCCTTCCATAATGTGAGAATGTGAGATACTCTTTCCATAATCGTGATATATATAGTCTCTAAAACTGGACCATTGATGGAAAAGTAATTATCACCAGCCAAAATACGTACAGTAAAATGGATTCAAATTACCTGCAAATGAGAACGTACTCGCTAATACTATAGTCTGCTGACGATATGACGTATTGAGACTCTTGAACAGTTAGATTCACTCTCCTGAAACACGTTCAAATCCGAGAAGAAAAGTCAAAATGGCTATTTCCTAAGACAACAACCTCTTGAGTAACTTCCAAAGAGTGAAACATTGAAGGAAGAAAACCTACGATTAGTAAAGGTAATTCACATATGCTATCTTGATATCTTATGACTCATATCCTTGAATTACTCAAACTTGATGTGTTAACTACACCCTTGAAACATCCCGCTTGATCAATCTTGAAAAGATTGAATTCCATTCTTTGTATCAAAATAATAAAACCACGATTCTTCATTAAACGAAAAGATGTTTTATGATACTGATCTTTGAAAACTATACCTTGTGGAATACATGACTCGATCACAATAGTAAAACTACCTTGACTTGAACATTATGTTGAACCTCTCTTTGTGGACCACAAAACAATCAATACAATTACGTTATCTCTGAAGATTATTATCGATGATCTTATTGACCAAACAAACTCTGTTATAACCCTAGCAAGGATATGTGTGTGCAACAACCAGAGAAGAAATGACATCACGAGAACAAGCTGAATCATTCAAGCGAAAATCCCTAACCTATATGCGTTGTTGGTGTTAGAACTTGTAAAGATCCCTCACTCTATGAATTCATGAATTGAATCGCGTACTGAAGATATTCTCTTCTTCCCTTGAAACAAGATCAGCCATAGTGCTACAATCGAATCTGTCGCTATCATATCTAGATAAGGTTTCAAATTAATAGAAGAAGTTTAAATACGACAAGTCGTACATGAGACGCTACTCAAACGTCATCACCTATGAATACGAAGACTCATTAAACGATAAATGAGCGCTACCATGAAGTGAATGAAGAAATGCTTCGATGTAAATCGATGATAACAAGCTACTGTACAATCAATCGAAAGTACTTCCTTATAAATGATGACAAATCCCATATTCTAAACCGATGAAAGCCATTTAATGTTATTTACGAGTCATTGATGGACTATGTGAACGATGTGAAGGTGTTTTGAAACAAACTCTAAATCTCGAACTATACCTATCGTGAAGGTGATGATTCGAAACTACAAAGGCTATTGAAGAACTTTCAATCAAAGAAGGAATGTTGTTGAATAATGACGAACAATCGAGACTTGTGAATGAACGAAGTGATGTGCAAATATGTTAAATATGATCCAAAATACGATGTTATACCCTACAAAGGAACCCAAGTTATGGATGTTGAATTTGAACAGGAACCCGCAAAAGGATTGTTGGATACCTTGCTTAATCCAAGACTGTTAACCTCTTGAAAAACAAATGAGTTTAATAACACCGACAGTTTGAGATTACATGGATAATGACATAATTATGGTTTAACCCATTGAGCATGACACGGTCATGATTAAGTGAGATCACTACGAAATGTTGAACGTTTGACCTTAGAAGAATTTCGAGGACGAAATTCCTTTAAGGGGAGAAGAAATGTAACGCCCCAAAATATACCCTAAAATTTATTGAATTAAATATTCAATTAAACAAAATTTGTTTTGATTAAAATAAATTGTTGTTGGGCTTTAGGCTGAAATAAAATATATATTGATATCCAATAAACATAATTGGGATAAATCTCATAGAGATAAATCCAACATGTTGATTTATTGTGTGATCTTGATTGGGAACCTGAGTACAGACCCAAATTAAGAATAAATGAAGAAATTGTTTATAATGTGAACATTGAAATGATTTATTGAAATAAATCATGGAAATAAATAATATGAATTAAATGTGAGAACCTTTTTGAATAAAGGTCAATTAAACCAATTTTGACTCTGTCAAAGTCAACCACCCAAAAATGTGATGTCGGAAAAAGTATAACGAATAAATATAAAAATTATATCGTTAGATAGAGTTTAACTGTCTGATCGCAACGGTGCAATCGGATTTCAATTCGGAGAAAGTTGGACCAAAAAGTGTTCCCCGACTAGGACCAAATTAGTCCCAATCAGGGACTTGCGTTTGGAATCGGAGAAATATCGCAGCCCGCTCCACTAGCCGCCCGAACAGGAAACCAGACATCACCCTTGGCAGCATCCTTCACCATTTTCCTATATAAGTATCATCTCCATTCCTTCAACTCCTCACCATTTCTTACAAAATTTTTGTCTATTCTGTTGCTGGGAGTGAGGAGAACGCAGTGGTGATGTCGTATTGGTGTGAGGTCGCCGGAGATAGCTACAATTCTCGCCGGAAGTTTTGCCGGAAAATCTTCAAAACCTCCATTAAGTTTCGAGGTAAGCCCGTAGATATATCTAGTGATTAGAATGTTCGTATAGATCGTTTTTACGTTCATAAACGGTCGTTTGATTGAGTTTTATGTTTGACATGTTTGAAGAACCAAGAATCATAAACCAAGAAATTGTTGTTAAAACTACAAATTAATGACTCTAAAATGATCTGTGAACATTGGGGAACATTCCTATATAATTTAATTGAAGTTTGGTAATTAAAAATGATAATGTTAAAAATTGAACAAAGGAAGAAGATGATGAACAGTGGCCGAAAATCGATTATTTCCTTCCTAATAATCGATTAAAAATTTGTTCAGATAGTCAGTATATTTAAAAATAATAATAATCGATTATTTTAATCATAAAAATCGATTTAACGTTATTAATCGATTATTTTAATTATAAAAATCGATTTT